ATTTTAAATAATTTAAATATTTTAAATCCTGATTTGAATTATTTAAATTAGTTTCAAGGCCCGGGAATTTAAATAATTTAATTCTGTATTTAAATTAGTTAAATTAGTTTCCGGGCCCGCGAATTTAAATAATTTAAATCTCGAATTAAATTATTTAAATTCGCGGGCCTCAAAACTAATTTAAATAATTTAATTCGGGATTTAAATTATTTAAATTAGTTTCCGGGCCCGCGAATTTAAATAATTTAAAGAATCTAAATAGATCCAGATTTTCTCCCAGCACAGACCATTTAACTAATTTAACTAATTTAAATAATTTAAATAATTTAAATCGGGATTTGAATTATTTAAATTAGTTTGGAGGCCCGCGAATTTAAATAATTTAATTCTGTATTTAAATTAGTTAAATTAGTTTCCGGGCCCGCGAATTTAAATAATTTAAATCTCGAATTAAATTATTTAAATTCGCGGGCCTCAAAACTAATTTAAATAATTTAATTCGGGATTTAAATTATTTAAATTAGTTTCCGGGCCCGCGAATTTAAATAATTTAAAGAATCTAAATAGATCCAGATTTTCTCCCAGCACAGACCATTTAACTAATTTAAATAATTTAAATAATTTAAATCGGGATTTGAATTATTTAAATTAGTTTCAAGGCCCGGGAATTTAAATAATTTAATTCGGTATTTAAATTAGTTAAATTCGTTTCCGGGCCCGCGAATTTAAATAATTTAAATCTCGAATTAAATTATTTAAATTCGCGGGCCTCCAAACTAATTTAAATAATTCAAATCCCGATTTAAATAATTTAAAGTATTTAAATTATTTAAATTAGTTAAATGGTCTGTGCTGGGAGAAAATCTGGATCTATTTAGATTCTTTAAATTATTTAAATTCGCGGGCCCGGAAACTAATTTAAATAGTTTAAATCCCGAATTAAATTATTTAAATTCGCGGGCCTCGAAACTAATTTAAATAATTCAAATCTCGATTTAAATTATTTAAATTCTTTTCCGAGCCCGTGAATTTAAATAATTTAAATAATTTAAATAATTCAAATAGAATGAGGATTTCTCCGAACCCAGACCATTTAGATAATTTAACTAATTTAAATAATTTAAATAATTTAAATAATTTAAATCCTGATTTAAATTATTTAAATTAGTTTCGAGGCCCGTGAATTTAAATAATTTAATTCGGCATTTAAATTAGTTAAATTAGTTTCCGGGCCCGCGAATTTAAATAATTTAAATCTCGAATTAAATTATTTAAATTCGCGGGCCTCAAAACTAATTCAAATAATTCAAATCCGGATTTAAATTATTTAAATTATTTAAATTATTTAAATTAGTTAAATGGTCTGTGCTGGGAGAAAATCTGGATCTATTTAGATTCTTTAAATTATTTAAATTCGCGGGCCCGGAAACTAATTTAAATAATTTAAATCCCGAATTAAATTATTGAAATTCGCGGGCCTCGAAACTAATTTAAATACTTTAATTCGGGATTTAAATTATTTAAATTCTTTTCCGGGCCCGCGAATTTACATAATTTAAATAATTCAAATAGAATGAGGATTTCTCCGAACCCAGACCATTTAGATAATTTAAATAATTTAAATAATTTAAATAATTTAAATCGGGATTTGAATTATTTAAATTAGTTTGGAGGCCCGCGAATTTAAATAATTTAATTCGGTATTTAAATTAGTTAAATTCGTTTCCGGGCCCGCGAATGTAAATAATTTAAATCTCAAATTAAATTATTTAAATTCGCGGGCCTCAAAACTAATTCAAATAATTCAAATCCGGATTTAAATTATTTAAATTATTTAAATTATT